TACTTTAATATTGGTCACCGAGTATTTGAAATTAGCAAGAAACCGCAATATTTTTTGAAGCGTGCTTTGACAGATGATTAACCATGCCTTATTTGAAGATCAGTGGCAAGGCGAGTTCACACCTTTGGCAGGTGTTGCCAATCGGCCCTATGCTGAATATCGTCATCGTCGACGATCTTCAGCGCATCAGTAACATGGCTGACGATCACAGTATACCAGTAGAAAAGGTTTTTGTTTTTGTAGCTGTTTCGTGGTGAAAGTCCTTTATGGGGACCAAATTTCCCCACAAGAAATTGGACGCATGGTTGCTTTTGCGTCCCAAAAGAATGAATATTAGAAAACATTAAAAAAAGTCTAAGGTAATACAATTATATTCAACTAAAAATAATCACAATAATTTGCACTTATGAGTTAATGGGATAATCATGCGTAAAAGTTCTTCAACTATTATTTTTCACAAAATAATTTTGCGGATCAGATTGCTCGGAGCGCTTGTGTTGTTTACCAAGAAAATGCAGCCCTGTTGGTTTTTATTTCTGTATCGCATCGCGGTGAGTTTCTATTTGGGTGGTCTCCCAAATCGGCCGGGAATAAGGTTAGTCATTTTAAATTTTATATCTTTGTTCGTCGACATTATATGACATGTCATCATTGCAGGCTATTGTTGCAGAACAAAACGCTGCAACCACTGCTGTGGTAAATATGTTCCAGCAGAACTGCCCACCGCCGTCGGTGTAATGATTTCGATAGCTGAACAAACGCCATCTCCTGGGCATTCCCACAGCTTGCCGACACTAGCTATTATATGACGTGTGAATGCAACTGCGGCTAAATTTGGTTATTAACAGTGCAATAGTACCATGTCATTGGCAAAAGCACTAAGGGCTGCTGGCACATAGAGGTTGTAAAGTTTTTGGTATCGATGAACTTACTCGAAAACGACGATGGCCGAAAACATATGATGAAACATCTTCTGGCAAGCCCTTGACATAGTTAAGTCAGACGGAGGCTTCACATACGATATTTCACACATGGCTGGAATTCGTTAGCGGACAGAGCAAACATTTTCAAAATATTTATCGTTCTGCAGAACGTGCATGCATATTCGATTCCGATATTATGGGTTGATTACGGAGGACAACCGGCCAGTGGCTGAAATGGTATTACCGATGGCAACTAGCAACTGAAAGCTGGCAACTAAGTTGCTATATTGGCAACTGCATTCTTGTGGCTGCAGGGAAATTTTGATTGAGATACTTTATTTCTTTTTTCAACTTTTTTTTTAATTGTACCACCTTGAACTTTATGAAACTTAATTATTGCTATTCATAATAAAAAACATTTTCATTTCAGTGGCGCTGTCCATCGGCAACCCAACTGAGGTTCCGTTCCCATCCATAACACAGGTCAACAACGTTTTGTTCTAGGAAAGTGTAGGGTCATTTTCGAAGTAATTTTTTGCGTAGAATCCGAATCCGGGGTTTAAATTGCTCTATCACGTCAGTATTTTGAGATATCCTAACCTAAAAGTGCAAAAACGCTGTTTTTGCCCATTTTTGAGGTTATGTAGCTACGCAGAGTTTGCTCTTCATAAAAAAGTAAACGTGGTATTTTAAAGTATAAGTCTTCCTCTTTTAAATGCCGTTGAGTTTGCTTAAATATCTATTTTAAAAGTATAAGTCTTCCTCTTTTAAATGCCGTTGAGTTTGCTTAACTATCTTTATTTTTCACGGAGATATCGCATTTTGAAGTATCCATGTTTGTGAATGTAATCGACCGTATCACGTCTCATGTTATCTCAATGGATTTTCGAATATCGAAAAATTCACAAACATGGAAACTTCAAAATGCGATATCTCCGTGAAAAATAAAGATAGTTAAGCAAACTCAACGGCATTTAAAAGAGGAAGACTTATACTTTAAAATGCCACGTTTACTTTTTTATGAAGAGCAAAATCTTCGTAGCTACATAACCTCAAAAATGGGCAAAAACAGTGTTTTTTGCACTTTTAGGTTAGGATATCTCAAAGTCCTGACGTGATAGAGCAATTTAAACCCCGGATTCGGATTCTACGCAAAAAATTACTTCGGAAATGACACTACACTTTTATAGAACATTCCGAACCCATTTTTTTGCAGACCTGTGTAATCGATCCATAAGTCATAGTCGCACGAACTAATCAAGGCTATCATAGAATCCATCGTAGTCCAATTTTTCGTGAAATCTACGAAAATGCTATTAAGTTCGAGTAGCTACGTATGCAGCGCTTGCTTTGAATACACACGTTCATAGCAGTTCAGATTCAGTGATCGCTTTTTCGTAGATTAAAAAAAAACATCGGACTACGATATGTTTTCTCCTTTGACAAGATGTTGGAGAATCACGGCAGCACAGCCGTATACCTACTCTATGCTCTTACGCGCATATGCTAAATTTCTCGCACCTAGCTAAAGTGCTTGACAAAGGGAGAACGCATATCTTCAACATAATAACTTAAACTAAAAAAGTTTAAGGCATGCAATAAAAAAATACAACAGAACCAAAAAATGCTCTCAAAACTATTAAACATAAAAAATTGCACGAATAAAATTCATAATTTAAAATAAAATATCGCAATTGTTTTTTATATGTACATACATATTTACAAAATAAATCTTAAAGCACCCACAGTAAGTCCTAAACATATAAATGACTAATAAGAAAAATAATAAATAACAGTAATATGAAAAAGTATGTCGAGAAATCTCTAAATAGTAGCGAAACTGTATCTCAATAATAACAAGTAATTTTAAGCAAAAAATACAACCGACTTCAATGCGCATTTAGGTCGTTCTGGTTACGTAGATCCGACTGTCCTCCCTTTTTTTAAAATCCTTAAAAAATGAATACGTATTCTACAGAAAAAATCAAGATACATATTTAAGGATTTTAAGTAAAAATAAATAAAGGAAAACTTGTTCGTGATATCTCGACCAAGGTGTATTCATGATACAAAAATCTGAAGGTAAAACCGCTGAAAAGCAGCCTGAACATTTTTAAAGTTTGCTAACATTACAAAAATGTTTTCAAATTTCCAATCTCAAATACATTCTCATTTTCATTCTCAAATAAATGAAAATTTCAATATTTTCATCTATTTGTTTTTTGTTTTACTTTTATTTGGCATTTGAGTTGCTCTCAAAATTTCAATTTTATAAAATAGACAAACTTCAAAAAATAAATGATGGCCGACGAATTGAGCAAGCGGTTTTACCTTTAAATATTTGTATCATGGGTGTATTAAACAAGGGGCCGTATGCATAAAACCTAAGCAAATGCTTTTTCTTAAAATTTCAGACCTTTCACAAAATTTTTTCAAATAAATTTAAGTGAAAGGTATGAAAATCTGAGAAAAAGTAATTGCTTAGTTTTTATGCATACGGCCCAAGGTGTTATTAACAACTCAGTGCGGCTCTCTTTTAAGATACTATTATGTAGAAAAATATGAACGATTCAAAATTCATACAAATGGATGTTTCTTCTGAGAGCATGGTCAAATTCAATCACGCTTTGTTAAATACAATTTGATCTCTACCAAATAATATACTTCCTCTGTAAATATTTTATGAATTGTTCCAAAATTCGCTCCGAGCGCGTTCACTGTTGATCATTTGATTTAAATAGTTTGTCAAACAATTAATACTATAGTTTGATCTGAGTTAATATATTCTTCAGTAATTAATTATATTATATTAAAACATAAGCTTATGAGAAATCATTTAGTCTTAACATGCATATTTTATATCGTGTTCCAAAACTCGCTCCGAGTGCGTTCACTATTGATCTTTTGATTCAAATATTGTTTGTGAAGCTTTCAGTAGTGAAGTTTGATCGGAGTTCATATATTATTCAGTAATTAATCATATTAAATTGAAATATAAACGCATAATATGGTAGAAAGTATTATATGCATAATTCGCTCCGTGTTCCAAAATTCGCTCCGAGTGCGTTCACTATTGATAATTCGATTTAAATAAGTGTTTCTCAAGCATTCAGTACTATAGTTTGATCGGAAATTATATATTCTTAAGTAATTGATCACATTTTATTAAAATATAAACGTTTAATAGGGTAGAAATTGTGAAATTATTTAGCTTTAGCATGTATAGTCGCCAGAGACAATTGCAGAAAACTGCAACTACTCGTGAAAACTTACAATAAAACCAATGTAGATGAAGGTAATAAATATTATTATTAAAATTAGATCCATATATAAAACATTTTACATCATTTATTTGAATAAATCGGAATATATTTTTGCATTTAAGATAGTTTCCATTTAACTCGTAAAGTACATATTTCACTACAAATATTTTTAAGATCATTTCGAATTGCAAAAATAGCGCTAATTAGTTGTATTGAAGTATAAAACATTTTATTACGTTCATATTTACTTATAAAGCGCATAACAATATTTATCTCGGCATTTTCCGATGTTAAAATTTTTCACCACTTTATTTTGCTGCACAGCACCCTGAATGCGGCAAAACAGTTGCTCGCAACCCTCAAGTCCTTTATGGGGACCAAATTAACAACCACAACAACAAAAACCTTTTCTACTGGTATACTGTGATGACGATGGCCGTATCGTCACTTTTACTGACGACGACGATATTCAACATAGGGCGGAACATGATACAAAAAAGAAGGTAGTTTCAATAAACAACTTTTTGATTAAAAAGCAGATTTTTGACAATTGCTCAATTGTGAAAAATTCGAAGCGGCATTACCCAATTGTAAGTTTTTTTGGTGTGGGACATTTTATATTCTAAATTTGGGATTATAAAGTAAATAGTTGTATTAATATATATATACCTTTTAAAACTAATCAATATCTTATTTTGAGAACGTTTAAATTTTACATTAAATTCGATAACAACTTGCCAAATCATTATTTTAATATTAATACAATTTTAGTGAACATATTTTAAAATTATGTTAGTGTCCTCATTTCATCTCATTAATTCACAATGTAGTTTTCTATATCGGATACGTGATTCTGATGTAATTCTGAAATTACACATTTACACAAATTACTGAAATTACACATTTCGATATGTTATTTAATACATATTATATTGTCTTTGTCCATTTAACAGCAATGGAATTTACTTTGGAACTCATGGGCCGTAAAATTTTTCTAGAAA